CTCAGGGGCTGCCACAAAGAAGAGGGAGTCAAGCTATTCTCCAAAGTACGTGAAGGCAGAACAAGAAGCAATGGGTGGAAACTAATCAAGGAGAGAAGCAATTTCTGAGGAGAAATTTCCTGACAGTGAGAACAATTATTCAGTGGAACAACTTCCCTCCAGAAATTGTAGGTGCTTCATCACTGGAGGTTTTTAAGAAGACATTGGACAACTCTTTGTCTGAAGTGGTGTAAGGCTTCCTGCCTAAGCAGGGGGGTTGGACTAGAAGACCTCCAAGTTCCCTTCCAACTCTGTTGAATAGAATAGAATAACAGAGTTGGATTATTCTCTTCTATTAATTTTTCTCCTGGATCGTTGTAATTTTTGTTGTCCGGCAGGTTCTAATTCCACCTTCCAAGGCCTCGTTTTCCTTCCTTCTCATTTGCAGAGAGGGGAAATTTGCAGATTTCAACTAACTCTTGGGAGAAAAATGACTCTCTGAAGCTCCAAAATGGTCTTCAGGCTACACGGTTGGCCAAGGTTAAGGTTTTTCCCTCTTTTTTTTTTTCCAGAGCTGCTGAATTATTATTTTTTGTCTCCGACAATATCAACGTTGCTGGGCTGATCACAGAGTACAAACCTCCCCTATCACATTTTCCTATACCGCCTAACTGAAACAAGGTGGACACCCTCCGAAATCAAACCCCGGGTGCTTCCTATTATTTATCCTATTATTTCACAATAACTGGAAATCAGGCCGACGTTTCTGGAATCCTTCCCACGCTGCAGTTGTTGCAGTGGCTAACTTCACGTGGTGTCTAGTGTCTGTGCAAAGGAACCCCACGTGATTGGATGTGAGAGGCCAGCTCAGAAGATAAGAGACCTAAATACGGGTCTATAACAGTGTGCTAGTTACTCCCACCTTTGCTACGTTGTGAGTCCCCAGCTAGTTAGCTGAGCTTGCTCCTTAGAACGCCGTGTTTAGAGGTACCTGGCAAGGCTGTCTCAATGCATGGGCCTGATGGGCACTTGCCTATGGGCCCCCACCAGCATAGGGGCCCCATACTAATCTGTGTATGTTAACCCTTCAATGCACCTTGGATCATATCAATACAAGCAACATATTTATTACATTTTACTGCACTTTTTTAAAATTAATAGTAACATGCTAATAAAATAAACAAACTCTGGTGCTGGAGAAGAAGACTCCTGCATTGAGTCCCTTGGACTGCTATTTTTTTTTACTTCTAGTACTTAAGGTCTAAAGCAGAGACATTGTCCTGCCAACAAAAGTGCGTCTAGTCAAGGGGATGGTTTTCCCAGTTGCCATGGATGGCTGTCAAAGTTGGACCATAAGGAAGGCTGAGGGCCAAAGAATGGAGGCCTTTGAACTCTAGTGCTGGGGAAGAGGTGGCGCAGTGGTTAAATGCAGCACTGCAGGCTACTTCAGCTGTTCTGCAGTTCGGCTGTTCAAATCTCACCGGCTCAGGGTTGACTCAGCCTTCCATCCTTCCGAGGTGGGTAAAATGAGGACCCGGATTGTTGTTGGGGGCGATATGCTGACTCTGTAAACCGCTTAGAGAGGGCTGAAAACCCTATGAAGCGGTATATAAGTCTAACTGCTATTGCTATTGCTAAGAAGACTCCTGCAAGTCCCTTGGACTGCAAGGCCATCCAACCGGTCAGTCCTAGAGGAGATCAACCCTGACTGCTCTTTAGAAGGCCAGATCCTGAAGAGGAAACTCAAAGACTTTGGCCACCTGATGAGAAGGAAGATGGACTCCCTGGAGAAGAGCTTCATGCTGGGAACGATGGAGGGCAAAAGAAGAAGAAGGGGACAGCAGGGAAGGAGGTGGCTGGATGGAGTCACCGGAGCCAAGGGCGTGAGCTTAAATGGACTCCAGAGGATGGTAGAGAACAGGAAGGCCTGGAGGAACGTTGTCCATGGGGTTGTGATGGGTCGGACACGACTTCCCAACTAACAACAACAACTAATAACAACATGTTTAATTTTATCGACCATTTACATTTTTATTCCTGCGAGTAGCTGTCATAGGAACCCCAGTACACTGTTTTGCCCAGGGCCCTGGTCACTGGAGGTAACTTTTAGCAGGTTGAATCCGATCCCACTCCACAAACCGAAAACAAGCCCGATCAAGTTGGCTTTTTAAACAGGATGGGATTCGGAAAGTCAATGAAAGCCATGGAGTCTTTTCAAGATTACATGCTCGTTCTCAACCTCTTAATGGGGGTAGGATGCAGTCGAGGTAGGGTGATGGCTATGCTAGCTAAGAATGCTAGATTCCTCTTATTGGGAAAATTGGGGAACAGATCCTGCAAGATTCAGCTCTCTTGGGGTATTAATGATTAGTGGCTACTAGCTTTCCAACAAATGCTTTCCCCTCCCTCGCAGGGTGAAGGAGAACACCCTGGATTTTTGCAGAGGGCTACTTCCATATTCATAAAACATAGAATAATAGGGTTAGAAGGGGCCTTGGAGATCTTCTAGTCCAACCCCCTTGCTTAAGCAGGAGATCTTACACCATTCTGGACAAATGGTTATCCCATCTCTTCTTAAAAACGTCCAGTGTTGGAGCATTCACAACTTCTGAAGGCAAGTCATTCTAATTGTTCTCACGGTCAGGAAATTTCTCCTTAGTTCTAGGTTGCTTCTCTCTTTAGTGATTTTCCACCTGTTACTTCTTGTAACAGGTTATTCAGAGGAGGAACCAGCAGTTGAGAAGAGGAGGGGGTCTTTGCTCACAGTTTGAGAACCGGGGTGGTGGTGTTCCTTTAGTTAAGACTAAGATCCTTGTTCAAGTCTGTTTAAGAAGAATATTTGCACATTCATACACCTCCAAATACACACATTAACATTCGTACATTAAGTCTCCTTAAGAAGTCATACAAAGACTAAAGGGGTAAAGATTATAGCAAGGGACAATAGTTGCCAGGTGAAAATTACCGTTTTCCTGTAACAGCATCATGCCCCATCAACTGTCTTGTCAACAGCCAGCATTCTTTCTCTTCACAATGAAACGAAGCCAACAAAGGAACTCTCTGACACTTGAAGGAAGTGAGTGGGTTGGCTACCTTTGGATCTCTACCCTCACCCCCCACTTTTCCTTAACCAGGATCAACTTTGGTGTACATGAAAATAAAACTATAGGCAACAATGCCTTTTGGGTAGGACTTCATGGGTCAAGTTCCCATTGGGCATTAGGAGTGTGAAGCATCAATTGCATTGGAGCTGTCTTGGGATGCTTGTCATCCAGTGAAGGACCCCCATAGCCAACAATGGCAGAGTCATTAAGGGGTTGGGCAAAAAGACTGAAGATCTCCAGCTTCCCTTCGGTCCCTTAGCTATGGCTGGCTTTGGACTAGTCACTCTCTCAGCACAACCTACCTCATTGTTCCTGCAGTGAAACAAATAAGAGAAGGAAACTACCTAGATCTCCTTGAGGTCATGAACAAAAGGCAAAAGAAGCAAAGGTTCCCCTTACACATATGTGCTAGTCGTTCCCAACTCAAGGGGGTGGTGCTCATCTTAGTTTCAACGCCGAAGAGCCAGCGCTGTCCGAAGACGTCTCTGTGGTCTTGTGGCTGGCATAACTCAATGCCCAAAGACGCACAGAATGCTGTGACCTTCCCACCAAAGATGCCTCCTATTTTTCTACTTGCATTTTTTATCCGCTTTCGAACTGCTAGGTTGGCAGAAGCTGGGACAAGTCACGGGAGCTCACTCCGTTACGCGGCGCTAGGGATTTGAACCACCGAACGGCCGACCTTTCTGATCGACAAGCTCAGTGCCTTAGCCCCCGAGCCACCTATTCTGTTCTATTCTAAAAGGCAGAATAGAAACCTAACAATAAATGCATCAGAACTCAACGGGACGAAGAATGGGACTATCAAATCTAGCACGGGGGATGACTTAACTGAAGACAGACAATGCCTCTGAGAATGGACAGAGTACAAACCTCCCCTATCCACTAGACAAGTTTTAAACTTCTCTCTCTATTTGTGGCTTCCTCACCAGAAAGTTCAGCTTGCTGTATTTTACTTACGCGGGAGTGACACTGGAATCCAAAATAGACCACGACAACGGCGGGCAGGAGGACCACCGAAAAGATGGCAGCCATCAGAAGGAAGTTTAGGAGAAAGGCAAAAGCGTTCATAGTCCCCACCAAGCAAGTCCACGCCCAGCAGCCACAGGTGCCACGACGCTCCATGGGCAGGAGCTGGTCCTCCATGTTGTACGGCGGGAGAGTTTGGATGGTGTGGGAAGTGTCGGAGAAGTTGTCCCCATCGTAGTCATCAATCTCCTGATCAGACATCTTCGGCAAGATCCAAACCAGGCGTCGGATTCCTTAATTCCCCCCCTCCTTTTTCTCTCCGTCCAAAATGGAGCGCCCGGTTAGGGGAGAAGCTTGTGGCCGAGGTGGGTTTTCCCTAAGTGGTGCCCACTTCCAGGAAACAGGAGATCGGATGGAAACGGGTTTGGGAACATAAGAGAGAAGTTCTTACATGTCCTTTTCGGGAGGATCAGGTGGTGGCCTCACCTGGAATGGTAGGAGGTGGAGAAGACCTTCCAAAGAGATGAGATGAACTTTTCCTTAGGGGGGGGCGGTTCGCCTACTGGAGTCCTTGGTGCGAGAAGGACTTGCCAGGGTGAAATTGGCAAGGAAGGGGGGCAAACACATGTGCCATCCTCTGGTTCCACCTCCTGGGTTGACTTTCCAGCTTAATTTTCCAGAAGTTCCACACCACACCGGTCCCCCCCTTCGGCACGCCTCAAGTCTCCACAGCAGGTTGCACTGGATTCATCCCCTGATTATCTGGACAGGGTTTCGTCCTTCAACTTCTAACTTTCCAGCCCTCCTCCTTCTCTTTGGTGATGTCCGGACGCAGGAAGGCTCCCTGCCTGAGCCGATGGCTCCTTTCTCTCTTCCGAGCCAGCTCTGATCGCGGTGCAGTGTGTTTAGAAGCAGCTGCACCGAATTCTCTCCTGCAGGCATCCAATCCTTAGCTGATTAGCTGCTGCTGCTGTGCTACTCTCCACCCCTTCGAGTTACTTACTATGTACCGTTTCCATCAAGTCAGGCCCACCGCTGATCTTTTTTCTTGGTGTGTCCCTGCTCTGTGTTTCCGCTTGATGGGAGCGGGGGGGGGGGACAGCACCAGTGGGCTGAGAAAGGGTGGCAGGCAGAGGACAACGAGAGAGAGAGGGGGGAAAGGATATTAATGAGAAAGGATGAGAAAGGAATGGGTGGAAGTTCTGATTTGTCCACCCAAGACGCAGACTTCTACCTCTGCCTCTGACTTGCAACTTTTTTTTTGCATTCGAGATTTATTTCTTGTGCGAGCCGCCCCATTGCAGTAACTCTGGGAGATGTTGAAAAATGTAGTCACAGAATGAGGCTGGCTGTCAGGGTTCCAAATAGCATCCAAAAATAAATCAGAGTCCAAGGCAAAAGTATTGCTCAAAGTTCCAATTGATTAAGAGAGCCATGTTGGCACATCTGGGGAAACCCGAATCTGAAAGTTTCCCGGTTTTCCCCACCCAGTTGAAAGTTCAAGATCCTACCCCGCCACACCCACAAGTCCATCACATGGTCCAATCTCCCACTGCCATGCTGGCAGCTTCCACCCATCCAGTTCCAGTCAGGTGCAGAGGTGCTGAGACAAAGGATGACCTTGGCTTTCTGGAAGGAATTTTGTTATGGCTCCATAGCATCTAACTCTGTACAATTCCCCCCCCTCCCATTTT